CCCCCCTCCCGCCCCCCGCACCAGCTGCTGCTGTCTGTCCCCCTGAACACGATGACCTTGGCGTTGAGGGAGGGCAGGTAGCCCGCATAGCCCGACAGGTCCCAGGACGAATCAAAGTGCGCCACCTCGACCACAAAGCCAGGAGTGTGGGCGCAGCGCGAGCAGGTCCAGGACCGCACGGCCGCGGTGTCGCTGCAGTAGGCCACGGACTGCGGCGGGCGGAGAGTTGCGCAGGTTTGAGACCAGAGAAGGGGGAGTGAGGGCCCCGGCGAAGTGGGGTTGGCAGAGGGGGTTGGCCTGGGGCAACAGTTGGCCGGGCGCCCGAATGCGTGGCCTCCAGGGAGCAGCGGCCCCCGTGGTGCTGCCTTCCGGCGTTTGTGTGAAAGTTCAGGACCCCTGGCCGTCAAAGGCAGGTCGCAGCTGCTTGCCTGCATGGTGGCGAACAAGTGGGCGCGGTACGGATCAAACGCCGACGCCGCGTCGTCGGCGGGGGTGCGGCCGCCGAGGCTCCAGCCGGTGAAGCCTAGACGCTGCTCATGTGGCCCAGCCTGCTTCCCTTTCCGCTGCTGGCCCTCTTGTTCCTGCTTCAGCTGCTGCTGCTCGGGCCAGTCGCGTGCGGCGTGCTGCCGCGCCGCTGTCCGAACCGATGCGAGTGCGCCCGCATTGAACACGGTCGCAACAGCATCAATGCTGCCGCCTGCGTTGCCGCTGCTGGCTTTCAGGCCCACAACCACAGCTGACTTGGCTGAGATGAGGGCGCCAGCGGGCAGCGGCGCGTTGGGAGCATCTGCGCTCCCGACACGCGGGCGTAGCCAGCGTCGCACGTCGTCGGCGCCGGGCAGCCGCAGCGGACTCGCTTGCTGCGCCCAGAGTAGCAAGACGACAGCGAACACACTGTGCACACCTCGCATACGAGCAAGGGTCCTTGACCCATCGGTGGGGCTCGCGTGCGATTGCCTCCTCCGCATGGCTTCGCTGAGTACCTACAGCCGCTGCATTGCACCACACAGGGCTGGGTAATCTGCTACGGTGAAGCCACCCGCCTCGGCGCTTGAGGCGCGTGCGGGTCTTTGATGCTAGGGGATCACCACGCTGATGCACCCGCAGCGGGCCTGCTGCGAGCGCTGGAACGCAGGCAATACTTATACAAAGCTGCGATTGTTGATGGTAGAAATTTGCCACGATAAGCACGTCGGTGCACCCGCTGAGCCGCTGTCCTGCTGCGTCACCCAGGCTGCAATGCGAACTGCAGGAGCACCCACCACCATGCACACCATCACAAGGGAGTTGCCGGAATTTGCAAGTCTGAGGTACGTGTGCATGCCAGCATGCATGTGTGCGTGCGTGCTTGCGAGCGTGTGTGCATGCGTGCGAGCTTGTGTGTGCGCGCTCACGCGCGCACGCGCGCGCGTGTGTGTGTGTGTATGTAGGAGGTGGGTTGGTAAATGCATCGATTGAGACGCGACAACCCAAGGTCAGTGCTCGCATGCAATCGTGTGTGTGATGTAATTCACTGGCATTCACCTGCAGGCGCACATGTGCTCTCTACGTTCCCCCAGAGCTGCTGTGGCGGGCACATCTAAGCTGACCGCCTTGGGGGAGCATGTGCCCTGGGCCGACGCCATTGTCATAGAGTGGGCCGCCTGCTGCAGCGACACTGGCCCCTGGCATTACCTGTAGACACTACGGCAGTGTGGGCACGAGTCTGCTGGCTGCACGAAGCAACAGGAATAGCAATCCAAGAAAGGTGAAGCGGCAGCGCATATGCCTGGTGCCCGCAGGAAGGCCCCAGCACGCCCGACGTGGCGGCTGCAGGGGCCCGTCACATTGCATAGCACAATTGTTACAGGATATTACGTGACATTGCATGAGCTTAGGTGGACGTTGCTGGTGGTTTTGACACAGCCTTCGCAGCGCTGCTAGACCCAGCCGCGGCAGCAGGCTGCGGCGCGGCCTTGGTGTCCTCCGCTGCCTTGCCAGCGACATTGGGCGCTGCTGCCGCTGCCGCTGCTGTCGGGGGCCTGTCCGTGCCTGCTGCGCTGTCGGCTCCCTCTGCTTTGGGCGGCGCTGCCTTGGACAGCGCTGCCTCGGCCACCACATCCGCGGGCTCGTCCGCACGACCGGTTGCCGTTCCCTCAGCGGCCTCTGTGGGGTTGCCCCCGCCCGCTGCCGCCTCCCCTGCAGCTTGCTCCGCAGCGCCCTCCGTCGGCTCGTTGGTGGTCTCCGCCGCAGCCGCCCAGGGCGCCCTGACAACGGCCCACTCACCGCCCTCCACCAGCGCCGGCCGAGCCAACACAAACGCCGCCCATTCGCTCGTCTCCGCCTGTACGTGCATGCCTGCCTGCCCCGCCGCAACCGTGCTCGTCGCCTGCGCCAGCTGCAGGCCGGTGAGGGTCTCCCCCACCTCACCTCTGACCCGCACCACGGCCCGCACCAGCGGGAGCGCCGCCAGCGCGGCCGCCGCGCCGCCCTCCACCCTGAACGCCGCCACGGCCGCGCCGCGGTAGCCGGGGTACACGCCGCCCAGGCGCCACCGCAGCGTCGCCTGCTTCGCGCCCCACTCCGCGCCCGCGGGTTCGGCCTTGCGGGGGGCACCGAGCTCTGAAGGCACTATTAGGTCGATGACCAGGTCTATTGGGGTGGGAACGGGACAGCGTTTAGTGCAGAGGTCAAGGTGGGCGGGCACATCGCTTCACCATGCATACTTGAGCTAGCTGCTGACCAACAACCTCGAGCCTGCAAATTGCTGGGGCTAGGTCTGGCCCATCGTGCATGTAGGGATTGTTCCAGCAGCAAGATTGGCTGGCCGGTGCCCTCGGCTGCCACACGGTGCCAGCAGTTCCCAGCCAGATTTGAGAGCGGAACCGTGCTGACCAGCAGACCGCCGCTCACCCCGCGTCTTGAGCTGAAGCTCTGAAGGCACCGAAAACTGCACCGTCGCCAGCACAGCTACCGGCGGCCCCGTCGCAGCCGCGGCCGCCGCTGCCTTGGACGCCCCTCCCTCGGCCTCCGCCCCGGCCGCATCGCCTCCCTTGGAGTCCGCTGCATCCTCGGCCGCCACTACCGCCGCCGCCCCCGCTGCCGCCGCTGCCTCCGCCTTGGCGCCGCCCTTAGATTTCCTCTTCTTGGCGGGCACCGCAGCAGCCGCCGCCCGCTTGGGCGGGCCGTGCTGCGCGGGCGGCAGCGGCACGACCCCCACCGACAGCCGCGCGAGCACCGGCGGCGGCGACCCGCCCCAGGTGGACGGCAGCGCGTACGTCAGCACGGCGG